ATATATTAATAACATGTGTTACTAGTTCTGACTCACTGTGTACTTGACATATATTAATAACCTGTGTTATAAGTTCTGATTCACTGTGTAGTTGACATATATTAATAACATGTGTCACTAGTTCTAACTCACTGTGTACTTGTAGTTGACATATATTAATAACATGTGTTACTAGTTCTGACTCACTGTGTACTTGACATATATTAATAACCTGTGTTATAAGTTCTGAAATTAATATATGTCAACTACACAGTGAAGACCTGTGTCACTAGTTCTAACTCACTGTGTACTTGTAGTTGACATATATTAATAACGTGTTACTAGTTCTGACTCACTGTGTACTTGACATATATTAATAACCTGTGTTATAAGTTCTAACTCACTGTGTACTTGTAGCTGACATATATTAATAACATGTGTTACTAGTTCTGACTCACTGTGTAGTTGACATATATTAATAACATGTGTTACTAGTTCTAACTCACTGTGTACTTGTAGTTGACATATATTAATAACATGTGTTATAAGTTCTGATTCACTGTGTAGTTGACATATATTAATAACATGTGTCACTAGTTCTAACTCACTGTGTACTTGTAGTTGACATATATTAATAACATGTGTTACTAGTTCTGACTCACTGTGTAGTTGACATATATTAATAACATGTGTCACTAGTTCTAACTCACTGTGTACTTGTAGTTGACATATATTAATAACATGTGTTATTAGTTCTGAATCCCTGTATACTTGTAGTTGACATATATTAATAACATGTGTCACTAGTTCTAACTCACTGTGTACTTGTAGTTGACATATATTAATAACATGTGTTACTAGTTCTGACTCACTGTGTAGTTGACATATATTAATAACATGTGTTACTAGTTCTGACTCACTGTGTAGTTGACATATATTAATAACCTGTGTTATAAGTTCTGATTCACTGTGTAGTTGACATATATTAATAACCTGTGTTGTTTGCCTATCTAAGGTAGTATTAATGTTAAAAAACTTGTTTGCCTATCTAAGGTAGTATTAATGTTAAAAAACTTGTTTGCCTATCTAAGGTAGTATTAATGTTAAAAAGCTTGTTTGCCTATCTAAGGTAGTATTAATGTTAAAAAGCTTGTTTGCCTATCTGATGTAGTATTAATGTTAAAAAGCTTGTTTACCTATCTAAGGTAGTATTAATGTTAAAAAGCTTGTTTGCCTATCTAAGGTAGTATTAATGTTAAAAAGCTTGTTTACCTATCTAAGGTAGTATTAATGTTAAAAAGCTTGTTTACCTATCTAAGGTAGTATTAATGTTAAAAAACTTGTTTGCTTATCTAAGGTAGTATTAATGTTAAAAAGCTTGTTTGCCTGTCTGAGGTAGTATTAATGTTAAAAAGCTTGTTTACCTATCTGAGGTAGTATTAATGTTAAAAAGCTTGTTTACCTATCTGAAGTAGTATTAATGTTAAAAAGCTTGTTTGCCTATCTAAGCTAGTATTAATGTTAAAAAGCTTGTTTACCTATCTGAAGTAGTATTAATGTTAAAAAGCTTGTTTACCTATCTGAAGTAGTATTAATGTTAAAAAGCTTGTTTACCTATCTAAGGTAGTATTAATGTTAAAAAGCTTGTTTACCTATCTAAGGTTAAGCTGATACTACTGTTATGACTGAAAGGGTAAGGTTGTTCGATGATGGGATTCTATTCCACGACCTGCAGATTACAAGTCGAGCACCCTAACCACCAGGCCGAGTTAAATGTGTGTTTATGGTATCCTGTGTTTAACTTTTGTTTTTATAATGTTACTATATTCTATGTACTTCTGTCGAAAGATGTCATCCTAACAGCATTTATATGAAAATATTTATATCTACATACATTTATATATGTGTGTGTATTTGTAGACATATTATAGTTTTTATATTTTTCATTTTATTTCAATAAGTACAATTGTACTATATGAGTAAGGATCAGATGGAAGTTGGTGTAGAAAATTTTTAACATAACTGGTTCTATGTACTGGAGAAAAATTATTCACGTCACATGTTATTTAAAAGTAAGTTTGTCTTTATGAATTGTTGACTGGCATCGTTATCTTCGATCTCACAAAAATATAGGTTAAATATATATTGTCTTCAACCGGCTATATCCAGCCACAAAAATCTGTTTTTGAAAATAATCCAACTTGAATCATTTGATGTTATGAACTAGGTTAAATATATATATATATATATATTGTCTTGAACCGGCTATATCCAGCCACAAAAAATCTGTTTTTGAAAATAATACAACTTCAATCAGTTGATGTTATGAACTAGGTTAAATATATATTGTCTTGAACTGGCTATATCCAGCCACAAAAATCTGTTTTTAAAAATAATCCAACTTGAATTAGTTGATGTTATGGACTAGGTTAACTATATATGTATATTGTCTTGAACCGGCTATATCCAGCCACAAGAATCTGTTTTTAAAAATAATCCAACTTGAATCAGTTGATGTTATGAACTAGGTTGTATATATATTGTCTTGAACCGGCTATATCCAGCCACAAGAATCTGTTTTTGAAAATAATCCAACTTGAATCAGTTGATGTTATGAACTAGGTTAAATATATATATATATATTGTCTTGAACCGACTATATCCAGCCACAAGAATCTGTTCTTAAAAATAATCCAGCTTGAATCAGTTGATGTTATGAACTAGGTTGAATATATATATATATATTGTCTTGAACCGGCTATACTCAGCCACAAGAATCTGTTTTTAAAAATAATCCAACTTGAATCAGTTGATGTTATGAACTAGATTAAATATATATATGTGTTGTCTTGAACTGGCTATATCC